CCCCAAAACCCCAAAACCCCAAAACCCCAAAACCCCAAAACCCCAAAGGGAGATTTTTGTTGAGAATTAATAATACTAGAATATTTGTAAATGGAAATGATTAATCAAGTTCCAATAAACTCTCATCTTGTCCCTCCATCATATCTTGACCTTCATCCAGCTGGCAATTAATTAGAAGGTTTTGATCTTCAGGACTAACCATGTTTTCATTATTCTGAAGGTCGATGATATCCTGCTCATTCATTTTGAAATCCTCAGGCTTATCCATCATGTCATACTCACTATCGATATGGTCTTCATTCAATTCGTTGCCCATCTGGTGTTGGTCAATTCTTAAATCTTGGTCTTTATCCTCTCTTTCCATCTGGACTTCTGGCTTCTGATCCATTTCAAGGTTAATAGCATCTGCCTTATCATTAAATTCAAGGTCTAAATCTTGAGGTTTGTCATCAATATCAATGTTAATAGCTTCTTCAGACCCTTGGAAGTTGTCTAATTCTAGTGGATCTACAAGCTCTTTCTCTTCTTCAAAGTTCTTCTTTGGGCTAGTTTGTTCCTTAACCTCCTCTTTCTTTGGAATCTGGGGCTTTCTTTTCTCTTGAGATCCATCAAGAATTTCTTCTTTAATAAACTTCTTGAGATCTTTCTGCCCATTGAGATTCCTCTCCTCAATAACTTCTTGTTTGATGTCAGTTTCTTGTTTTACCATGGGATTTTTGCTGATTTGGGACATATTGCTGATTTTTTCATTAAACCTCTTAAAATCTGACTTTCACTTATCAATTTCTTCAAAGTTGATGTCTTCAGACTTATCACTGAGGTACGGAGTGTCCTTGAGGTAGTTGTTGGGATCTCCACAGAGCTCCTCCGAGCCCTTCTCCTCAGGATTCCTATTCTTCTTCCTCTTCCCATGATGGTTCTTCTTGTGATGGTTGTATCCTCCTCTTTTGCCCTTAATACCCGCTACTTTCTGCAGTCGACCATTATTCTCTATAAGTTTTTCATAGATCAATTTGTAAGGCTTCACTGTGGACTCACTGAATTTCTTCTGATAGTCTAGATAGTCCTTCTGCTCCTGGATCGCTTGGCCAGAGTTAACTTCTTTGTACAGCTTCTGCACTTCAAGCAAATTATCTGATTTTCAGGAAAGTAACTGGACTCGGAGATGCTTCAAGATTCCGTTAATTTCATTCTCTTCGTCTGGGGAACTCGGAGGGTCTGATAAAGCCTCTTTCTTAAGTGAAGAAGGACTTTCAGGGTTCTCTTTCTTTTTCTCTCCTTCTTCCTCTTTTTCTTTGTTTTCTTCACTGTCTTGCCTGGATTCAGGATGAATGATCAGGTCATCTCTGATAATGATTTGGTCATTGTGACATGAATTAAGCTTATCTGATATTCTGTTTAGGTCTGAATGGAACTCCTCGTCAGTGGTAAACCCAAGTCTATTCAACTCCAAAACACTGTTAATGTGTATCTGGATTTCTTGAGTCTTGTCTTTCTTCAGCTGGCTGATATTGTTCTTAAGATCAGAGATGTCATCTTTCTCTTTCTCTTCATCTAGGAAGCCTACATCTTTCATCGTATCATCATGGATATATCAATCATTGCGGTCTCAGTTAAAGTTGTACTTGATTTCTGGGATATTTATACTCTCACATTGTTTCTTTGAGCTCTTAATAGCTATCTGTCCTTCTTTAGACTCAATTTGGAATCGATCTTCGATCACATTTATTAATTTATCAATCTGCTCTATGTCTAATGCTTCTAAGTTATTTTACTCTCTCATATCCTTCTTCATCGTCAGATTCAGAATCTTCCTCTTTGATAGGGCACCAAAGGTTGTCATCAAGCAAAGGATTTTTGCGGTATTGGCACTCATTAATGATGTCTTCCTTGACTAGTCCTTGCAGCTCGGTGTCGTCCTTCATGAGAGATTCAAAGTTTTGACAATTGGTACTAAACAGATGGGCAAACTTGGAGATGTCTACTGGAGCATCCTTCTCTGAAGATTCTTCCTTCTTTTCTTCATTATCTCCCTCTTCATCATTATTGTGCTTGTTCTTGATCTCTTTTCCTTTAAGAAAAGAATCAAGGCAATCCTTTGCTCCATCTAGAAGAAAGTAATTCAGAAAAGCCTTGGAGATCAGCCACCAGAAGTGGTTTGGCTTAGAAACTCCATTCAGATATCCCCTCTTTTTATCCTTAGAATGTTTTATGCCTCTGATGCCTAGAGTTCCGTCATACTTAAGGTCGAATGGGCCATCTCCGCTCTCATAAGCGCCTTGGGAGAGAGCTCTCTTGCCACCTTTCTTTCTATTGATTTGACCACTAGAGTTCTGAACCAGATCCTTAGGATCTATAAAGAATTCCTTCATGTACTCCTTGACAATTTGTATTAACTTTGAATACACAAAGGTTGGAGGAAAGACTGCTTTCCTCTTAGCTTCTTGTATGTACTTCCTATTAGCCTCTCTTAGATGCTTCTTAGAGTAGAGGCTGCTTGAATCATTCTTAGCCTTTCTTTTCCTGCCCGAGGTTTTACCTCCTAACTTTCCTCCGTGCTGGCTGATAGGCAACTCGCTATCTGAAAAGTTAAAGTTCTAAGCTTACCATCAAAACTAATCTCATCTATGTTGAATTTCTGCACTTTTAGGGTTGATAATTCCATTGATTGCTTTCTTGATAGATTCAGTGACCCAACATCATTGATTTGCATGTCAAGCTTTCTGTTGGTCTTTTGCTGGGATTGCACTCCTAGAAATTTATGATATATCATACCTCTTGTGCCTTTAGCATGGTCAAAATCCTCCAAAATTTCTGCTTTAACTGGAGGAATAGTGCTATCATTGATCCTCTTATTGCTGACTTCTTTTCATGTCCTCTTAAATTCTCTTCTTGCAGCGATTCCTTTGGGCTTGGGAGGTCCATCGAAATCATTAAAGCTGGCATCTTTGAAGGAGCTATCTGATCCTGAGAAGGATTTGCTATTTTCGTCTATTTCAATTTTTCCTCATCACCTCTTCTTGACTATCGTAATCAAACGGGTCCTGGCTAATAGGTGGGGGAATTGAGAACTTAGTCATCAAGTGATCTACAATTCCTTGGAACTCAAGATTATCCTTATTAAAATTCTTGAGTGATGGCAAAGTACTTCTGTGATTCTTTGAAACTTCTTGTTCAATAACCTCCTTTTCCTTGAGTAATAGATCGCTCATGCATGAATAGATCAGGTAGACCTTTCTTAGTGTATGATTCCTTCGCTTTTTAAACAATTTTACTTCTTGTTCTTCGGCGTCTTTGAACCCATTGTATTTTGGAGGTCTGTCTCAGACGATATTTCTCATCCATCCTCTAGAAATTTCTAAAGATATTTAATACTGGTATTTTACAGTATATTTTTCGGTGAACACTTACCTGTAACATTAGCGTCCTTCTCAAGATGAGAGACCATGCTTTCCTTGCCCTGATGACCATAGGTTCCATTCATCATACGATTTTGGGAGACTTTTTGATAATCGTAGTTGTGCCTGATCCCAACCCCACCTGCTGGATAACCTTCCTGTTGTTTTCTATGAAGAGATTCCATATCGTTGTAATCAGATTTGTGTGAATTCTCATACCCATTTGGTCTTGGATACTCGTACCCCTTCATCTGATTACCGCCGTAAGGATGTCTTTGAGTCATCGAGTTTCCTCTTACTAGCGGATAACTCCCCATCTTGGCTTCCATCGAAGAGCCATACCTTTCAGACATGCTATAGACGTGAGGATCTATGTCTGCCTTGGCTCTCCTTTCGTCATAATTTGACATAATTTCAGAGTTGGGTCTTCTGACCATGCCAGGTTTTGCCGATTGAGAGTTCTGAGAAATGCCATAAGAGTTCTGATATTTAGAACCCATATTCTCGCTTTGAGGTTCGTCTGCTCCAAAATATCCTCGCCTATTAACAATGGTAATTAACTGAATAAAGTTTACTGGAACCAACGCTTTATTTTCAGTATCGTAATAGCAACAGTTTTGGGTTGATACACTAGTTATGACAGACTGCTCACAAATTTAGCAATGCTAGAAAAAGACAACAACTGAAACACATGTGCTATAAGAGGCCTAGCACAGATAAAGCAGCTAAGACCAGTAGTTACCTCTCCGATGTTTCTCTTTGTGAGCTCATCTCCATTTATTGTTATTTAATTAATAAGCTTTAAATATTTTAACCTTAAAAGGGGTTTTGGGGTTTTGGGGTTTTGGGG